AGCCGCGGCGCTTCTTGGTTTCAGGTCCGTTCGGTGCCCTGGGGACGCTGCAGGTGCCACCGTGGCGAGGAAGCAGCAGATCCCAGGGGAGGCCCTTAGAAATGCTTGGGTGCAGCTGAACACACCATAGCCGCGGCGCTTCTTGGTTTCAGGTCCGTTCGGTGCCCTGGGGACGCTGCAGGTGCCACCGTGGCGAGGAAGCAGCAGATCCCAGGGGAGGCCCTTAGAAACGCTGGGGTGCAGCTGAAAACACCAGTGTTTCCTCTCGCTCTCCTTCGCGCCGGGCTGTGGCAGAAGGAAATGCCGGTGTCCAGAAACCGGCTCCGTTTTGCTGTGCGGAGGAGCCGGGTGTTGGGAGCTGGAGGGATTAACCTGGGCATGGGGATGAGTGGGATGCAGAGCTCGGCCTGGGCGCCTGTTTGGCTGGTGTCCCCCTTGGCTGCAGCTGGGTCACGGAGCTGGGAAGCAGCAGGGGTTTCCAAGCTGCCCCTTGCCAGCAGCTGTGGCCAGTGGCTCTTCGTATTTTGGCACTTTGGTCCCACAGCCAGGGCAGAGCCAGCGGGAGGGTTGTCTCCATGAGCAGCTTTGAACCGCTGCTGAATTTGTGCTGCCCTGCCCGGCACTGCCAGCACTTTCTATAGTCGCTCTTTGAAAATCCTGCAGTTTTGAAACTGACTGAACTGGCCCCGATTTCCTGAGCCGCTCAGAAAAGAGCGGGGTTTGGTTCGGTTGTGCAAACTGTATTTTGAGCAAGTTCCCCTTAATCCCCCTCGTGACGGTGGCACCGCGCAGGCCTCCTTGTTCCTTACCCGTCACCCCCCGGGAGCCCTTGGCTGCTCTCCCCGTGCCAGCCTCGTGCTGGGGACAAAAGCCGTGTGTCCGAGCAGACGACATTGGCCGCTTGGTACCGTGGCCGAGGGTGACGTGCTGGCTCGGGGCTGCGTTAGCAGCTGCTCCCGTGTCGGGATGGATTTCGGGATGGATTTCAGGCTGGACCTACAGAAACTTTCTCTGCTTCTGTAGCTTTTCCAGCAGAATAAATGGAATTCCTCGTGGAGGAAGGGTGAGTGATGGAGGGCAAAGTGACTATTTCCAGCCAGCCCAAAAGTAGTGTTAAATTGACCAGGCTTTGCACGTCCGAGCCCAGCACTCTCCCAGCACGGCTGCTTGCCAGTGCAAGGGTTTTTAGTGGCATCTCCCTGTTTTTTTTTTTCCTGGAGATGCCAAGAGGAAGAGGCCAAGGGGCTGGAATTACCCCCTGGCAGACCTGGGAGAGTGGCAGGTTTGCGGGCAGTGCATGGAGGCTGTTTTACACTGTCCCTAGGACCTTCGGCCGCCACAAGTGACTGACTGTGCCTCAGATGGCAGCGAGTCAAGCTCCCCTTCATGACATAATATTTTGCTAGTGCTCCCGCGGCTTGTTCGTTCCTCTTGTTGACAAGAACGAGGAGCCTTCGGGATCGCGGTGTTGAAATAAGGTGACGTAAAATTGCCAGTTATGTCTTAACAGATTTGGAGCAGAAGTGAACCGTATTGCGGCCCGGATTTTTCCCTTTGTTGCGGAATTTAATGGTCGCTGCCGGTGCAAGTGCTGACTTCTTGCGCTCCGGCGCCGCGGGATTTTGCTGCACTAATTGGGCAGTGTTTGAGCAAAGGTTGGTTCAAGGTGCCCGATGCAGCAGCTGGGGTGGGTCAGGGCCCTCTTTGCTGCTTCCAGTTTCCCGAGTTCCCTCATGCTGGAGACCAGGAGGAGCTGGAAGTTTGGGCTGCAGGAGTCCATCCAAGCCTGTCGTTGGACATGGGCAACTTGCCCCTCTGATGCAAGGCAGATAAGATGTTTTTTAAACATTGCCAAGAAGCAGAATTACCTCTGTTTGGTGCCCACTTGATGTCACTTCTGGAGGCATCACAGTGCAGCTTTGCTTGCTGCAAGTAGCAAAAGTTAAAAGTAAACCAGCACAATTATCTAAAAATCAATAGCTGGGCTCTGCCGAGCTGCAAGAGACTTGGACTGAAACTAAATGTAGAGATACCAGCGTGAGGCTTCCCTCTCCAGGCCTGAGTGTTGGTATTTAAATATTGCATCAGTGAAAACGCCTTTTTGGAAGCAATTTTTACCACAGGGCTGTTGGGGTAGTTGGGAGAGGGGAAGGGGGCAGAGCAGTTTCAGGCATTGGCATAGATAGAGCTGGGCTGTTTCTACCCATCAGTTGCCAGAGTGGTACCTAACTCTTGCTCTACCAATATTGGTGACCTGATCTTCTGTTTTTTAACAAATGTCCCTGTTATATGTGTAAATATAGCTGGTCAGGATGGCTGGGTAAGACTCGCCGTGACTTTGCTGCACAGGGAGTGAAGTCAACATATTCTCTGCCAGGTCTCTGAGGTGGCTGCCTTGGGTATTGCTGAATTGCCAGGTAGCTGACCCCAAAATTCCCATGTGATAGAACTCCAGGGGGTTCCTGGTAATCCTCTAGGATCTCTGTGCAGGATCTGTGCGTGGTAGCTGTGCATGGCAGTGTCCCCGTATGGCTCTGTAGTGCCCCCGCGCTCGGGTTCTCTTTGCACTCAATTACTTATCCGTGCTTTTCAGCAGCCTTTGGAGGTGACGGCAGAACTTCAAGGCAGGAGGAGGAAGCAGAGTTTGGCAGGGATTGAGCTGTAAAGTGGAAGATTCAATCCACGTGAATTATTTCTTGCTCTCAGCCTGCTGCAGATGTGAGCTTGCTGGAAATGAGAAATCATAGGAGTCTGTCAATGGCCATAAAACGTTGGCATAGTATTGCTGCTTTGATAACAGCAAGATGCCAGTAATTCTCTTTTCTATGTGGTTTAGTGTCTAGGAACAAAACCTGCTACTAGATTATAAGACTAGTTGATATTAGTCCAGAAATGTAATTTTGCGTGTGCACATGCAGCTGGTGCACGGTGCTGTTCATCTGGGAGCAAAACCCTCACGTAGGCTTGAAAACCAAACACTTCTGAGCATTTTAGTGGGATATTTATTTATCCGAATGATGAGGCTTTCTCTATTTGTGAGCAAGCTTATGGTATTAAATATTATTTTTCGCAGCTGTGTGACCCAGTGAAATCGCTGGGGTGGTTTAGATAGAAAGCAGAGAAGCATTTGCTTTTCCCCATGGAAAAATCAGGGCACACCCATCTGCCGGGTGCTCAAACGGGGCTTTATTGCGTGGCCATATGAGACCGGAGCTCGGATTTCTCCTCCCTGTAGCTTGGCTAAATTGTGTTTATCCCATGCAATCCCCCTGGGAGGTGGGAGCCCTCATTCCCAGGCAGTTTTATGGGAGCTTTGCTCGGGAGGCCGTTTGCAGCGTGCTCGGGTGCTGCTTTGGCGCTGAACGAGGTTGGAGCTCGCTAGGCCGCAGGTTGGGTTTTGCTCAAAACCGTTCACGATCAGCATCTGCTCTGTAAAAAAACCCCCCTGCGGTTGGGCAGCCTATAAAAAGGGCTTCTGCATGATTTAAATAGTGGGCAAATCAGGCAGCTTTTTTTTTCCCCTTGCCTTGTTTTCCATTGCAAGATCTTCTCATGCAAACTGCCCTCCAGAGGAGAGTCCAGAGCTGAGGGGAGAGCAGGAGCCAGGCTCGAGTCCTGGGGGCCCTGTGCCTTGTACCAGCATTTTCTCTGCTTAGGTTTGCACAGAGCCCTTCTGAATGGGGTATTGCAGGTGTTACGGAGTCCTCACTAGATTTGTAGCTGTTTCCATCCATCGCAGTTGCTCTAGGTTTAATTTTTCTGCCCTTCACCCGTAGTCTGGAGCGTTTCGGGGTGAGGGAATCGTTCTACGAACCCGGAGCGTGAGGGCATCTAATGCGCTTGCTCAGGCACCATCCATAATTGTGCAGGGATCCAAACCTGCTTGTCTAAGGCATTTGGCAATGTCTGCTCCAGAGAAATACTGTGATGTCTGTTGTGAAACAGCTCCTTGGCTCCAGTTACCGTACTTGCTTGGGGTTTTTCTTTCCAAAGACTTTATTAATTACCTAGTTAGAGATTTGCTTAGTAGCAGGATTGAGACCAAGCTTTACTGGTTGGCTGTTCTCCTTAAGCCAAACAACTGCTCCAAGAACTGAGTGCGCATGCGGAGTTCGGCCAACTTCTATAAATAATGGTGAAAGCTCCTAATTAAAGAAAATCAAATGATGTTTTCTTCTTTTGGGATCCATGGGTCTCCCCATCTCTCTTCACAATGTTTCTTTATTTCCTGTAGGAAACACAGACTGACAAGAACGCAAAGTGCCTTTTCCCCGGTTGTTTTCAGCCCCCTCTTCACAGGTAAGAATGGGAAAGATTTACAGAACGGCATTCCCTTTTGCTATGAAAAGGGCAATATGTGCTTAATGACAGAGAGATAACATGCCTGCTTCTTCCATGTGCAAGCTAGGAACTCTGCAGATAGCTTTTTTGCTCTGCCTGGCCCAAAACAAACAAACAATAAGAATATTGAAGCGCATGATTTTGGTGTCAGCCCTTTGCAATTTTTCCTTTGGAATTGCAAGTTTGAGGTGTGATTCTGGAGGTGAAGATCCATCTTCCACCGGGTCAAAGCAGGCTGGAAAATCCCCTGTAGCGTCAATGCAGAGCACGTGTTGGCCTCCTCCTCCTCAAAAGGAGGTGAGACAGAGCCCTGCGTCCCACACGCCTCCCTCGGCCCTTCTGCTGCGGGGTAAATGTGGGAATTCAGACCTCGTGCGGAGGAGCATCTCCTGGTCCAGCTGTTGTTCCTCCTTTGCAAGCTTCCCTGCTCTCATTTCCTGTGGCTTTCTCTCTCCTTCCCTTTTCTGCTGTGGGGAAGTTGCCTGCTTTGCAAATGCTACACGGGGAAGTCCTGCTTGACTCCCAGCTGCAAGGGGTAACGCAGAGGCTGCAGTCGTGCATCGCGTGCCGTGCACCACGTGTATGTGCAGTCCAAGCAACCCTCACCATAGGCTGGGGAAATTCCTCTCTGAAACATTTACTTGTGACCTTAGATATTGTTTTACACAGATTTTTCAGCTACCCAGTTCTGCGAAGCCCGTTATGAAAGCCAGATTAAAAAATAAATATTAAGGATCTTATTTGCAGGGTAGAGGAATCAAAATATATTTCACTGCGTAGTGTTAGCAGTATTAGGAAAAGCCAGTGGGTGGAGTTGGAAGTGACCTCTTGGTTTAGGTCTTGGGGAGCTCGGGGAAGGTGCTGGTGTATTTTGTATTCCTGAGCATGGGCTAAAGCCTCTTTTTGGACAGCTGAGGAGGTGGCTTGCTGAAAAGTGGCTTATGTTTCAGAGAAGTGACCTTCAAGGCAGAGCGTTCATCTGATTTGCCAAGAACTGAACAATTCTGATCGGGTCCTACTGTTTTTCAGCTGTGTAATTCGCTCGGGTCCTTCAGAAAGGGAGTAATTTGGGGATAATCCAACTGTAGTGCTTCCCGCTCTCCCCTCCATTCTGCTCTTGGTTATCCCTTCAGCTCATGTCTAGGTAGAGGGGCTTCGTGCAGAGAACTTGTTCCTTGTGTGATGTGCCTGGCTTCCCGTAAGCGTTGTGTGTGTTTATTTAGCAAATCAAGGCTGATTAAAGCAAAAGCTGCTGCCAGACTTGGTCAGCTGTTGCTGGGGGAAGGGAGTGTTTGCTGTGAGTGTAAAATCCCTAGCCCTGGTGCTGGTGGTAATGGGGTGCAAAGCATCTCTTTGGAAGACTAATAGCAGAACCTGAAATTAATAACTTCCTGCTTTTAATTTGTGAGATTGATTCGACTAAACGTTAGTTTATCTTATTGATAAATAAGACAAGTCATTTTAAAAATGACTTATGTTGATTTCTGCAAGTCAATAGCAGTGCCCTCCCAGGAGCTTTTGGCTTGCAGGAGACCGTGGCAGCTTTCCTAAAGTGCATGTCCAAATTATATTTGCTTTGGTTTGTCGTTGACTGCCTCTCTTTGTGTAGCAGAGGCCTTTTTGTTTGCTTTTTGCTTGGTTTTCCACCTAGCTGGACTTCCCCAGGCAGGACCCACCGAAGAGGGGTGGCATTTGGATGCCTGGGGCAGCTTGTGAGGATTTCTTGGTGACCGTGACTCACTTCACTCACTTTCAGAGTGACTCTGTGTTCCCATAAATCCCCCAGGGATAAGTTACCTTAGATGACAAACAGCCCTAAATGCATCTCTTAACTTTGCTCATTAACAGATAGGCTTTTTATAAACAGAGGGAAGCTGAGTCAATATTGTCCTATGTAGTGCCTGGTAAGTCGGGTGCTTATTGAGAGCTGTTACCATATCTGGAGCAGAAGAGGAGCTGATACTTTAGCCTAGATTTGATGGCTTTTTCTCTCACCTTGTTTAGTTTATCTTTAAGCTTTTCTCCTTTTGAGTTATCCATCTTCCACTGTGTCATTATTTTCCCCCAGCAGTGTCCCCTCTCCAGAACCTTTCCACATAGGCACGTTCAGCTTTTTGATAAAAAGCCCGTCCAGCTCCATCATTAATCTTAAGAGATGTTGCCCTCATAGGCTTTTGGGCTCAGGGTGTTCTTTTTGGGTTAAGGTACTTGTAGGCAAACACCTTTTGAAATGAATAGGAGCACCGGTTCAAGGATTTTAGTGTTAAGTGGTACCTACTTCTTCTGTCCAGGAAGCTCTGCATGTCACATTAACTGGATGGTGAAACGTTTTGCAGCCCCTTCCTCATCATAGTCCCTTGATAACAGATTTGGTCTGGGTTCAGTAGCACGTATCAATATTTATCATTTCCATATGCCTGCCAGTTGGTCAGGGCCTGACCTTCGGACTGCAGGAGCAGAGCTGATTGATGCCTCAGAATTGGTGCAACAGAAAAACTCGATTTGAAAACAGCTAATGAGATGCCCTGGAGATCTTTGGTGGGAACTCCTCTCTGAATGTCTTCAAGTTGCAGCCTTTTCCCTTCTCCTTCCTCCTCGTGCCTTGCATAGGATGCCTTGCGTAGGGTCCCCTCTAACAGTCTTGCTCCACCAACCTCTAGGTGAAACGGTGTCGCTGGTGGACGTGGACATCTCTCAGCGAGGACTGACCTCCCCTCACCCTCCGACGCCGCCGCCGCCACCGCGAAGGAGCCTCAGCCTTCTAGGTACCCTCCAGCACGGGGGTCCCGCACGGGGATCCCTGGCAGCGGGTTTGCCGCTTGCTCTTCTGACCCTGTAACACTCCTGCTTTCCCTTCGTGGCAGAATGTTTCTTGCTGTTCACTGAAGGCTGCAGCATTTCTCTTAGATCAGCCAGGAGGGGCAGAGCAATACAAGGAGGGGCTTTAGGAGGCTGCATTCCTAGTGTGTCCTGTGCTGCATCTGCCTTTGGAAACTTCCCTTCTTTCTAGCCATAGCCAAGCAAGGACGATTCCCTTCTGTGCTCTCTAGTTTGTGGAAGCTCCTTGGGAGGATATTGGGAACCTGGCTTAGCTGTTCTGCACCCTGCTCTGGAGGAGGCTTCTCTCTGCCTGGGAGGAGTTTAGGAAGAATAAAGTCAGCCTGGATAAACAGCACCTTAAACTGCACATGCCAGGGCAGTGCCGTGCCTGCGAAATCTTCCGTAATGCCCGTCCTGTGCTGCAGGCTGCACGCGTCAAGGGGCTGGGCTGGAAAGTTAACTTCTGCATTCAAGGAGTGCATGTGAGTGAATGCGTGTGTGTGGGAGCCTCCGAGGAATCTGAAATGAGCCCGTTTGAAGTGGCAACAACTACCTGCTCTCGGAGAAGCCGGTGGAAGATCATGAGCTCAGTGAAAAGCATCATCTTCCACTTTCCCAAGCAGCGCTAGTGCGAGTTTGCGTGTGCCGTGTTGTGGGGTGCTCGGCAGTGCAGAGCTTGCTCGCTTTCCTGTTTTCTGAATATCTCTTGCCTCTGTTCTCTTCTAGATGATATCAGTGGGACGCTGCCTACATCTGTCCTAGTGGGTCCGATGGGGTCCTCCCTGCAGTCTTTCCCTCTGCCTCCGCCTCCTCCACCCCATGCCCCAGGTCAGCTTAGCTGTAGCAGCAAGGCTCCCGTTTGTCCCTTCAGGGATCTGGAGGGATCAAACCCCAAGCTTTGACAGCCAGCATATTGCATAGTCCAAATAAGTGGTACATGAGGTTGTTTCCTGTCCTTCAGGACCCAAATAGTTTTAATTACGCCCTATTTTAGTATCCTAAGATATTGGCATGTATTTAAATTCCCTTCAGCCAGTGCTGCCTGGCACTTCCCTCCCTGTGAGCTGATATAAAGAAATAGCAGGTGAAGGTGCTGAATTAGTCGCTTTGTAAGAGCCAGACAGTGATGCCCACAGTGTCCCTTGCAAGGACACCACCCTCATCAGTGAGCCCAGGCTTTTTTCTTGTGCTGCAGTTCTGTTGCTTCTGTCCTCACCTAGAGCTGTGAACATGCTGGGGGAGGCAGCTCATCCCTTGTGTTGGCTCCTCTCGGTGACCGTGGCGCTCCCGTGTCTCCCTCTGCAGACGCCTTCCCGCGGATCGTCCCTCTGCGGCCGGCGGGGGCCCGGGCCCGCCACGCGGGCCCCGCACCTGCAGTGTCCCCTGTACCGCCCCGACGCCAGCAGCTTCGCCGCCAGCTTGCGGGAGCTGGAAAAGGTAACGTGGACCCGGTGCTGCGGCAGCCGAGCAGGGCCGGGCGGGGAGATGTGCCCTGTTGGGCTGCAGGATTAGAGCCTGCATCAGCCTTTGGGGACCGATGAGCTTTTTTACAGACCTGGAAGCATAAGATTAGGATAGGACAAAAAAAACCCTTCTAGTTTTCTCCCGGTGAGGTCATCACTGCTGAGCTCAGGACAACATTTTGGGAAGCATGGGAAGGAGCATCAGTGTCAGGGATTCCAAGAGCCCTTGTGGTAGGGGCACACTGATGGAGGAGCAGCGAGTCCTGAGCATCCGTGTCCTTGGGTGAATTCAGCCACTCTTTGTTAAAGTGAATTAATGATGAGCAAATTGTATTGTGTCTTTACTGTTAAAACCCCTGTTTGCTGGTAGCCCAGTGGCATTCTGACCACCGCTTTCTTTTGGTAGTGTGGCTGGTACTGGGGGCCTATGAACTGGGAGGATGCAGAGATGAAGCTGAAGGGGAAGCCAGACGGGTCCTTTCTGGTCCGAGACAGTTCCGACCCCCGCTACATCCTGAGCCTGAGCTTCCGATCGCAGGGCATCACCCATCACACCCGCATGGAGCACTACAGAGGTGAGCGCCGCGCCGGGATCCTGGGATGCTCCTGCCAACCAGGTGTCTGTCTGTGTAACCTGCGGCTTAAACCAGTGCTCTGAGCTCAGACATGGCAGGAAAGAGGGAGCAGCAGTGATAGATACATTTTTGTGTGTCTAGTTATGCAAGAGGTTTTAGAATATGTGCTTGACTTCAGTTTTTAATGCCTCAGGCAGCATGAACCTATTTATAAACTCTATACGTCTGAAAAACTGGTCAGTACAAGAGTTCTATGTGCCTCTCTTTTCCAGCTTTGGAAAACTGGCCTTAAAATGATTACACGGCTTTTGAGATCCCGCGTGGTTGAGAAGTGATGTGCAGAAAAGTCCGTCATTTATAGTTGTCAATGATTCCCAAAGTGAACCTCGATGCCGTGTGAATGACAGATTTCTTGTATGGTGTCTTGTCATCTCCCTTCATTTGTCCCCTGAACATCGTCCAAGAGATGCTCAGCAGTGGCACCAGCTGTTGTCCCAGGCTGAGGTCTTGGTTCCACTATTGTGGTTTTTTATTCTGAGAACTCGTGCATGTTATTTGCACACTTTCTTCCTGCTGTGCTCAGTCTTTCACGTGGGATGCTTCTCACCTCACCCACAGGTTTTTTTTTTCTGCTCATCTTCAAATGTGGTTTTCTCTGCCGAACACTTGTGCCGACAGCTGCCCTGAGGCCAAGTAAAATGCCCGAGAGGCTCCGTGCACCAGGGGAAGGTGTTATCAAGACTCTTGCACTGCCTTGTAACCAGTGGGAAGGCCTTAGTAATAGGTGTCTGCATAACACTCATTAAATGGGCTTGCAAATAATGGGTTCCAAGGCTTCTCAGCCAATCTGCTGGAGAAATTGGTGTTTGTAACCTTTCTGAGCAAAGCTCATCCTTTTTCACCTTTTCGCCACTGCCCTAGGGATACTGGTGTGGAGCTAATAAACCTGGCAGTGCTTTTGGAACCCCTCTGGTAGGATTAATGCTGGTGCACCTTCCTTTAGAGCCATCCCTCTGCCCTTCATCGCTGCACAAGAGGGGAGGATGTTTTCATCCACCTGTCCCTATAGAAGCTGTTTGTACAGTGGATATTCTTCTATAGGCTTCCTCTGCTGCTGCTTAGCATTCTTATTTTAGATGTAGGATGCCTCCACTCAAGGAGCTTCTCTGCCCCAGTGGCCTGTTAGACACGTGTCCTTCCTTCTCCTTATTTTTTGGATGCCCAGGTTGAAGGCTGGTGCTGCCAGCATCCCTAGAGCAGCATTCCGGGTCATGGCAGTGAATCAGGGATTTCATTCCTGGATCCGGTGCTTTGGTCCGTGCTGGCAGATCTGTGCTCCTGCTGACTGTGCTGCAGCAGAGTGGAAAACTGCTGAGCTGAGCACTTTGATAAACCGATGAAGGTGACAAACGGTGGGGCTAGGGGAATGGTAAATAGATAAATGCTTGACCTTCAGGTTTCAGGTAGATGGGAGGCAGAAACTAGGACTTCTTTCCTTTTTTAGGAAAGCTGAGTAGGCAAGCTGGGGAAAGGAGACGGATGCTTGTGTAGTAACATTACTACCCTGTAGTGACTATCTATTGAGCCCTTAAAAGTGACTGGTAGGTATATTCAGATCTGGGGTCAGTGGTCCACAGGAAGAGTTCCTTATTTCTCCTTGCTTCTGATCCCGAATGCTTAGCAGGTGCTAAACAGATCACAGTTCACAAACTGGTCCATGGTGGGAGGAGAGGTACCTTTCCCAGTACAGTCCCCCAGATCCAACCGGAGGGTAAGAAATGCAGATAAACCTCAGTGAGCTCTGTGTGGCCCTTCCAGAGCCAGTTGCTGTCCCCACTACAAAGCCACATGCTCTGGACACTTCACAAAGCTGTTTTTCCTGTAGCAGGTTGGTGCTGTGATGCTGCTGGGGGAGCTTCCCAGTGCTGAAGTCCCAGGGCTCTCTTACCCACTGGGCACAATTTGGTTAAACCTTCTCCTTAGCGTGAGGCTTCATGTGGACGCAGAGTGTTTTCAAGGTGACTCTGCCGCCTCTCTGGCTTTGAGCTATGGCACTTAGGCAGATGAGTTCTGCAACACACCTACAGCTGGAATCTGCCCCCCAGCAGGCTCCGAGCTCGCTGGCTGCCCAAGAGGCTCCATCCCAAACCCAGCCCTTGGCTGCTGTTCTGCTTCTCCTTTGCTTCGCTCCTTCTCTCTTCGCTTGTTGGGTTCTCTCACAACAAGTGAAGTTGTGTTCTGTGCTGGCTCCTGCCAGTGCTGCCAGGTCTCGCTGGACCCCGTGCCATGAGGATCCCTCTAGATTCAGGCTGTTCTGCAGATAGAAGGGGAGATAAGGAGGCAACGAAGTTGTGTTCTGTGCTGGCTCCTGCCATGCTGCCAGGTCTTGCTGGACCCCGTGCCATGAGGATCACTCTAGATTCAGGCTGTCCTGCAGATAGAAGGGGAGATAGGGAGGCAAGGAGGGGAGCACAAGTAGCATTTTGCTAGTGCAGAGATGAGGGAGTCTGTTTTCAGCACAAGTCATGAGTAGTCTGACAGGAGGCTTAAACTAGCCTATTTAGAGATCTCTAAACAGGTTAGAGAGCCTGATTTCCCCAAGTTGCCTTTCTCTGGTTTCACTGCTTGCTACTTAAGCTTAATGCATGCAGTGTGACAGTGCAGGGGAGGATTGTGTTGGTGTTTCTTCATCCCTGCCTCTAGCTTGAGAATAATTAGAATTAAGACACTTGAAAAAGCCTGCAAGAACATGGGACTGCATCTGCTCTGAAATAAATGTGAATCCCTGCAGCAGTAGGGTTAGCACAAGAGGGCTTCAGCAATTGAACCCCTTGTTATTAAGCACCTGTTCATGTGGACTTAAAGTTACTGTATTAGAGAAGTGAAGAGGGGTGTTGGTACATTACTGCAGAGAAGCAGGTGTATTAATATTATGCTGAAATATGTTTCCATAGTTTACAGCATTTCCTGTAACATGAAGTCTTTTCTGTTCTATTGGAAGGGACCTTCAGTCTGTGGTGTCATCCCAAATTTGAAGACCGCTGCCAGTCTGTGGTGGAGTTCATAAAGAGAGCAATCATGCACTCAAAAAACGGGAAGTTTCTTTACTTCCTCCGATCCAGGGTTCCAGGTGAGTCTTGCACCCTGAGTTGTGATATTCGTTGCTCTGTGAATTAGCTACTGATGTGCCCTAAGGACCCGTTCAATGTGGCATTGGTCTGCTGCCCTGGGGTCTGCGCCACGGTTTGTACCTTGCTCATTGACTTCTTAATATGATCCTGAGGAGCAGATCTCTTGTTGCTGCAGCGAATACTTGTATTGGTGAGGAGACTTCCTGAACCTTCTTTTCACGAGTATAGAAACGTGATACCATCTAACACCACAACTAATGGAGCTATAAACTGCAGGCTGGGAAGTTACCTCCTCAACGAGCAATTATCTGGTTGCTAAAACTCAGCTTTCTTCTCTCCCTCAGCCCCAATGCTTTTGTTACAAACCACTCTGTACTTTGCAGTTATCCCTTTGCTGAAACCCACCTGGGGCTGTTGAGGGGAGGGATATTAAACGGAGTGCATGTGTGGGAGCGTTTCCAAGTGGTGAGCTAAATGTGAGCCTCAAGCAATAGATACTGTAGATTCAGAGTCCCTGGGGGGACTGTGGTGCCAGAGAACATCAACAGGCAGGTGCTTGCAAGCCAGGAGGGAGTGTAAGTGAAGCTTTGTCGAAGCATGTTTGATTGCAAGCTCGTGGAATTGCAGGGCGCTTGTTTCTCCATCCATCAGTCCGGTTCCTTAAATGGTCTCACACCTCCCTCCTGCTTAATCCAGTCTGGCAGCTGGACAGTGTCTTCTGTATCTAAACTATTCTGATTTTGGCTTGTCCTTTGTGCATCTGAAGCTAACTGAAAAGTCCGATGTGCAAGAGGGAAGAGAAAAGAACAGGGAACACGCATTGCAAAGAGGGAAAGGGGAAAGGCTTGGGAAGAAAATGGAGGAGAAACTGGAACACTGTTGTGGTAAAACAGGTCATGGGAAAGAGCCTTAAAGAGAGGGGCAGCATTGCTTGCTGCAGTAAATCTGCAAGTGAAATTATAATAAATACACTGCCTGTCCTTACTGTCATTCCATCTGCAGACCCCGATGATAACAGCAGTCTCTGTAGTGTTTCCTACACGTAGCTGAACAACTCCCAGAGGCTTTCTGGCCTGCAGAGACTGATGCTCCCTCTTAGCGAGTGAGCTCCGGGCCTGCTCTGACTTGTTTAGTGACGCAGAGCTGGAATTTTAACTCGGATTTGTTCAGTGTTGCCCCCTGCTGCAGAGTTTGGCCATAGCTGCAATGCTGCTCTAGAACATGGTCATACCTTGGTGGGAGAAGGGAACTGTCGAGCTACTTTTGCAATGTACCTTGCCCCATAAAAACCCTTGAGACTTAAACATTAAAGATACTTTACTTTGCTGATCCCAAGAGCTCTTCCCGTCAGGAACAGGGCTTCTCAGGCTTCGTAGAATTACAGGCAAATATCTTAAGTGAAAAGGAGTTGATCCAAAAATCGTACTCCAGATTCCCTCATGCTGAGGAGTCACTGCCTGGCTCTGGTCACCTCTGCGCTGCCTCTGGATCTTGCCCCTCTCCATTGGGATGCAGCACTGGACCCGGCTGCTCCTTCCAGCTGCCCAGCCTTGATCCTTGAAAAACCAGCATCCTATTGATGCCCAGGCCTTAGCGGGAGCATATTTGGGGTCCGCATCTCCAGTGTGCTCCCTTGACCCATTGAGGTGCTAACGGCTCCTCCGAGGAGCGGGGCTGGCTCCGGCACCAGGGCATGTGGCTAGTGCAGCAGGCAGAGCTCGTGCTGCGGCCCTGCCGCTGCTGGCTGAGCTCCCAGAGGCTAATTCCTTTCTGGAAGGAGAATAAGGGTAGGGAGGGAGGTTCGGCCTTCAATTGATTCCTGTTCTTTGCTTCCTCAAAAGCTGGCTCAGCTTCCTGAGCTGCCTGGAGCAGTTTTGAGCCCATCTTAGTGTGAAGAGCTTTCCCTTTTCTCCTTTCACTCCATTGCCCTCAGACGGGCTAGCAGGAGGGGGTTAGAGTATAACTAGCTTTGAATCCTTCTGTAAAGACAGATAAAACCTTGTGCTGTGAATGAGCCTGGCTCCCCAAGATCGTTTTTAGTGTTCCTGCT